GTATTGTCAAAGGGTTCATGTGCACTTTAAAAAATGATTAATTAAGATTAAAAAAATAATGATTAAGAATGATTAAAAAAACTAGTCATTAATTATTCAACTCTTCATATCTGTTGTCAGCAATCAAAGCGTGTGAGTCCAGTCCTTGTCAGAATAACGGCGCGTGTATTGACACAGTCCATGGATTCTCCTGTAACTGTACAGACGATTGGACTGGCGAATTCTGTACCATATGTAAGTAACAACAAATTAAAGTGACCCAGACTCTCTGACGAATCTAAATACAAAAGACGAATTCAGATACATTATCAACGGATTCACAGCTGAATTTATAGTTTTTCCAACTTTCGAATTCTCTCGATTTCCTCCTTCAAGAGATCCTAGCCGCCATTTTGTTATGAATCAGTAGTTATTACCAGGGGCGGAACCAAGAATTTTTTTATGGGGTGTCCCAAATGAAATGAAGAAATATATACAGTATAGAGATATTATGCATCGCTTCAAAAAGACGTAAGAGTAATTACAGCGTTAGGGGGGCGTCCGGTGCACCGCAGGACACACTCTGGATCCGCCCCTGTGATTACAGTGTGACTATGTATTAACCAAGATCACCCAAACAAATTTTAAATCGCATTAACAACATTAGCATCGTTTTGACGCCGAATAATACGATGGTAATGAAATTTCTTCAGATTCCATTGTTTTTAGTAATTAAGTGTTTACCGAATTGACGGTCTGTTCAGTATCATGCCCGTAATAGGCGACTTGCACTAAGAGGTCACGTGATCAAATCGGCCATTGTGGCTGGCATTCAACAGGATTTTAGCAATGCGAGAATGTAAAAAAAGATGGTGGATTCGAGTAGTTTTATTAGTAATAAATTAGTAGATTTTTGCTATTAACTCGCCAAGAAGAGAAAAAATATGGTATGTTTTGAGGTAATGTAGCCTGCGAAACAAGACTAAAACACTTCGTAGGTCTTCACATCGTAGCGCAAAAAATACCATATTTTCTCTCTTTTTGGCGAGTTAATAGCAAAAATCTACTTTAGATATCTACTAAGAATATATTTCTTGGAATTAAAGGAGATTTTTATTGTTATTTAGTTCGCTAACGTACCTTTTATCACCAAAAAACTACCCGAATCCGCCATCTTTTTTTACATTCTCGCATAGCTACAATCCTGTAGAATGCCAGCCACGATGGCCGATTTGATCACGTGACCTCTTAGTGCAAGTCGCCTATTATTACTCAGTGACTACACCAACCAAGGTTAGCCAGACACACTTACATATCAATTAGCCAATCACGATTCAGTATTTTTCAATACAAAATGTGTCTGATTGGCTTTGGTTGGTGTAGTCGCTCAGTAATAATTACGGGCATGATACTGAACAGACCTTAAATTCGGTAAACACTAGTTTCAATTACTAGTAATACTCAAACCATAATTGTAGGCAGATATTCTCGGTTAGGACAATAGACCTATCCCGAATTCGCTTGACTGACCACGAAACAATGGTTTGAAGTCTAGATTGAACTTGATTCTTTTATTCATCAAGTCCAACCTCGACTTGAAACCATTGTTTCGTGATCAGTCAAGGGAGTTCGGGATAGGTCTATTCCAGTTTGAGTAGATTGATAAAAAATGATATATTTATTATGTTAACAGATCAAAACCCAGCATGGTTCTGCGAGGGAACATGGAAAGCGAATACGAAGACATGCTACTGTGATGTCAAAGATTATTGGGGAAGACACTGTCAAAAAGGTAAAAGGATCATCTCATTGTGAAAACAATAGACCGCATGTTGAGCCCGCGGCCCAGCGTTATCCTTAATGACTCGGAGTGTACATTGAGTGAGGCTATAGATTCGAGCTCGCGATAAGTTTCGAGAAAAGCCATGTAAGATATATGGACTTATATGGATATATTAGCTGCAAATTCATATATTCATGAAAATGTATTTATATAAATATTAAATAACATTTTTATTGAGAGGGAGAAAAACCTAAAAGCATAAGAGGAGAGAACAACACATCGAACAAACTCAACTGAGCGCGGAACTACACAGCAGAGAGATACAGCGCCACAGCAGCGCATGCCCCCATGCCAAACAATGAAAAAAAATTCATATATTGTACATAATTAAAAATTGATCTCATGGCCTGACCGTATATTAGTGGGAGCATGTTGGGGATGGTGTACTTGGAGAAAAAGCGTCCAGTTCTTGCAAATGATTTATCTTTCTACTAACCTTATAGGAAATCAATGGTTGATTGCTCTGACACTACTAAATGGAGAGGGGTTTCATGAACCCAAGTTGTAGGGCCAGAATTAATGCAGTATTTTTGCATGCCAAGCGATGTTATTTCTCGAAGGCGAAACTGATTTTTTAATGTTCTGCACAACAACACGGCTGCCGTTAAATCCTTTTGTTATAACTGACGTTCTTTATCTGTTTCTACTGGTAGCTGCGCTCTATAGGTTGGTCAATGGACTCAACACCTATGAGGGACGCGTGGAATTGTTCTATAACAACCAATGGGGGACCGTATGCGACGACAGCTGGAATCTTAACGCAGCAAAAGTATTATGCAAATCTCTCGGTTATCCAGCCGCAACAGCTGCTCACGGCACCGCATATTATGGTCAAGGGACCGGTCCTATGATACTAGACGACGTTAACTGCCTTGGCAATGAAACACGCCTTGGGGAGTGCTCGATGAAAGAGCCACTGAACAGTAACTGTGCACATTCAGAAGACGCTGGGGCAGAATGTATACCGAAGTACAGACTAGCTAATGGGAGTAAGCTGAATGAAGGTCGATTCGAAGTCTTTTACCTTGGATCTTGGGGAACCGTTTGTGATAGAGGTTGGAGCAATGATGCTGGGCTGGTTGCTTGTAAAAGTTTAGGATACAGCTCATTAATCAGTTCCTTCTTGGGTGGACACTTTCCTCGAGGAGATAACTCCAGCCAAGTAGTGTTTGACAATGTTGTATGTACTGGAAGCGAGGCAGAGTTAAGCTCGTGCAAGCACAGTGGATGGGGAATTAGCACCTGCAGCCACCAAAGAGATGTTGGTGTGAAATGCAAGCCAGGGATGCGGTTAGTAGGCGGAACCACAGCCAAGGAAGGAAGAGTTGAAATATTTTATCGGAATAAGTGGGGAACTGTATGCGATGATCACTGGACATTAACGGAAGGAAATGTGATATGCCGTAGCCTAGGGTACCAACATGCGTCTTCAGTAACGATCCAAGCTTCCTTTGGTGCGGGCACAGGAACCATTTGGTTGGATAATGTGCACTGTTCTGGTTCTGAAGCGTCTATTGAAGAATGTCAACATCAAGGATGGGGAATAAATAACTGTGGTCATACTGAAGATGCTGGCGTTGTTTGTAGCTGAAGGCTTTAGTGCACATCCCAAATTGACTATTACAATAAATCAATCAATCTTTATTTAGTATCGTAAGAGCAAACAAATACTTAGATTAAATTGAAAATAATAATGATAATAATAATAATAATAATAATAATAACCCCAAAAACAACAACAGAACCCTTATTGGTGCTGGCCAGCTGTAGTAGACATAGGCTAGACGAGTCAGTTGACATTTGCTACTCATTTACTCACAGTTATGCTGGTCGACGTTATTCAAGAATGGCTGCCACTATTACTCCGTATGTTTTTTTAACCAGCCACATTGTTTGGGAATTACCGCAAAGCCATCAACATTAACCGTGCATGAACAATAGATATATTACCGATTGTTCACTTACGATAGGAGGTCTGAATTTTTGACTGAAACAAATGTGTCGTAGTAGATAATTTTATCACCGTAGGTACGAAAGATAGTAGACTGACGTTTCGGACGTTAGTCCTTCGTCGGAGTCAATGAGAGAAAGAGAATGATGGAGGGGTTTATATAGTTGTGTAGGGAGAAAACAAACCAATGAGAAAAAAGGAAGTCGAAAAACAAAAGAGAACAAAGGGATCGAAAATAGTAATGGCAGGTGAGAAGTGGCTAATCAAAGGTGAAGCGTTCATTCATCCCGTGCGGATGTGCCAAGCGAATGAAGCGCATTTCTTTTGTATTACGTGAATTATTGCTACCGTGTTTTAAGCAAAGACCAAAAACATTAGCATTAGTTTCCGAGTGGTTCGCAAAATTAAAATGTCGAGAAATGGGTTTAGAGAGATCTTTCTCGCAAAGGTGGTCTCTGAAACGATCACCTAATCTTCGTCCAGTTTCTCCAACATACAGCATGTTAAAATAAGAGCATTGAATGCAATAGATGATGTTAGATGAAGTACAGTCAAAATGATTCTTTATATTAAAGGTAGATTTAGGACCTTTAACTGTTAACAGATCGACTCTACGACAAGAGCTGCTTGACTACGAGCACGTTCTCTTAAAACGACGCTGAACAAGCTGATTACATTACGCTCGACCACGTCGTCACAGGTATTTTTTTACAATACCACGCGCGCCTTCAATCGCGTCGGTGGTAATTACGAGGTGTAAATCGGTAAATCTAAATCAAATCGCATAAAAATTTAAATCTAAATCAATCAAAAAAGAGGTTTCTTCCTACTAGTGTCACTCTTGTCACAGCCTCTCACTTTGTCATGAATGTTTTGAAACATTTCGTAATCAAAACTTGTTGTTTAAATTCTTGTTTGATTCATAGCCATATCAATATATCTGAAAATCTAAACCACAATAAAACACAATGGCAAATTGATTTACGTACAGTAGTTAACATTGCAACATAAATGCATTTATTGGGGAAGGAAGGTTACCACCATTATCGTTGAAGTGCAACCCTCTAATATCAATGTCTCGTTTGCCGACTAGCAATTCGATCGACGGCCGTCAATCAAAGAACTGAAATATAAAAAAAACCTATCTTAAGGGAGATTTTAGACTAAATTTTAATCTTTAACAAGATTTAGAGGATTAGTGAGTTAAAATCTATTGACAGTCGCCAAAATGCTAGTCGGCAAAGAGGACAATAAATTTTGCGGGTCGCACTTCAACGATGATGGTAGTAATGTTAATTAGTATTTGCTTCGTACTTGCTGACCTGTAATTTAGTATTTCTCATTACGAAAGATGAGAATAAACCAATTTAAAATTACAAATAATATCTACAGTGTAAGATTTTCCATTTCAAACCCCTTTTAATTAATTACTCCAAAGCTGACGTGTAATTTCACAATCTCCCGCAAACGTTGTCAAGAGGTTGGAATCGGTGTAAGTACCTTCAACCCGTCCGATTCCAAGTCCTTCATATCATCATTTTCCAGCAACTGATCATCAGTTCGGCTCTTGTTTCGCGCGCGTTGATACAGCAGGCTTTGGAATTTGAAGATCATTAGATTCAAAGTTTACTCTGTTTCTTTTTGGAAAAATCTTGTGCAAAATTTCCACATAAGCTTTTCTGTACTCGCCAGATCGGAAGAAGTAGATGAATGGATCAAAAGCGGAGTGGGAGAGAGCGAGAATAAGAAACCATTCTCGTTCAGGTTTGTTCATTTGTTGTGTTAATCGTACAACAGTGTAAGGTAGATAACATATGCCATACACGACTATTATCAAGGCTAGAGTCGTAGACATTTTCTTTTCTAGTGAGTGCAGGTGATTTTGATGGACGTTCAGAGACACGCGAATTTTGTTTTGTCGTAGTATCCTTAAGAATATGCAAGAATAGCAGACAAGGACCAGTAAAAAGCAATGAATTGTTGCAGCCACGGCGAATATTGAAGTTTCCTTTCGGTGTGATTCGAAACCTGCGAAGATTCCATAGATAATACAACCAAACCAACCTAACGACATGAGAACAACACATCTGGGAGTGGAGATAATATCTTTGTGCTTCAATGGCCAGAAAATAACAATAAAGCGCTCGATACTCACTAACCCAAGGGTGAGCAAAGATGCTGCCGAGCTAAAACTGATCACACATCTTCTGGCATATAACAGTTCCTCAGAGAGACAAGCCTTGTACACAGAACGTAGATATACCCATGCTACTTCCAGAGGAACTCCAAAAGCTGACGTTAAGAAATCCGCAACGCAGAGGTTTACAACAATAAACCGGGAGCATGTTCTCAAAGATGGTGTTGCAAAGAAGACAAGACAAACGGTGATGTTACCAAGAACTCCTGCGAGCGAGACCAGAACCCCGAAAAGAAGCACCAGTACCCCAGAATCATGTGGATAGTAGCAGTTGGTGAACAGTGTTTCTGTTTGGTTGAAGACGGACGTGTTCTGATATCTACTGTAGTTGGCCATTGTTTATAACCCTACCAAATTAAAACCTTAGCAGCAGTTGTAAGATATATTGCTAACGGAGACCTAATGTTTTGCTCATCATCGGGGTACTCCTATCTTTTATTTCCTTACTTCTGATAAGATTTTAATCCAATTGCTCTTCGAAAAGTTAAGTGGAATGAATATGTAATTAGTTTATTCAGCTCGCTTGATAAGTCAACAGAATAAAATGACAGAGATCAAAAGACATATTAGAGCGATATCACATAAGCAATGTTTACATGCAAATGAGCTGCCCTGTGAAATAGCATGCTAATGAAGTGTGCACATGCTGTTTGCACTACTGAGCTTGTGGCTTTTATGGCCGAGAGACGTGTTGAACTTTTCTAACAAAAATGATAATGAACAAAAAACGGCTTTACACTGCTA